GGCGATGTCTTCTACATCTAGATGTAGTCCTGAGTGCCGGGTATAAAAGTTGTGACGCGTAAGAAGCGTCTCACACGTCCCTTCTCGTTTTTTCTTCATCTGTCATTTACCTCTACAACACTGCTCACGCCAACACACTCTTTTAGCTCGGCCCCCTCCCCTAGAGCTACACTGCAGAGGCACGGCAGAGGCAGAGGCCGCACACTGCAGAAGTAGAGTGTAAATGAGAGAATGTGCAAAAAACAAATATAAGCTGCGGTACGGGGTGGGTTTAGCCACCTCAAATTAATTTATTTATTCTGCCTATAATAATGACCCCATCTGATCCCAATTCAGTGATCTGATATATATATTCATTCCCTACGGAATGGCGTGTTTAGTTTTCTTTTATCTTCAACATTGTAGGCTTGGGAGGTTTTCGCCCTTTTGGGTGGGTGGAAAGGGACGGGGCTCATTATTGAAATACACTTGTAACAGTGTGAGCATTCAGAAGTCGGGATGCAAAATTTGGTGGCTCAAGCTTTTATAGTCTCTGAGATCCAGATCAACAAGACGGACGGACAGACAGACAGACATAGACTCGGCTATTGTTGCTGATCAAAGCCAAACACTATTTTAATGACTGTTGCTGCTGGTGCTAGTTATGGGTTTGCCGACGCAGTTCGCTCATGTTTATCTGCAATAAACGTTTAAGAAAATTAAAGAAAATCAGACGTAAGCGCTACAAAAGGATGCGGGTGTACTGTGTTAGGTACTTGTAATTTACAGATGTGAGCTTAACAAGTCGCTTACGTTATTTACCTTTAGAAGTGTTTAACATTCTATTGAAATACGGTTATTTACGCGTCAGCTTAAGAAATCTTTATGTAATTTAAAATACAATTTAATTATTGAAAAGTCAAGAGGTATTAAACAAAAGTAACTGAGAGTGGGATCTTATTGTAGGTTTGCAAGCAGTGAATGGGATCTAATGTCTTGTTACAACCAGACTAGCAGAGTAACACTTTTAGATTATTTACGAATTATATCTAAATACTAATAAACGGATCAATTCATATCAATATCTTCCAATCGTACAGGCTGCGTGTACGGTATCACCGATTTCTTGTTGACATCCCTCGACATGGCCTTTCGCATATCTGCGGTGAGGGGAAGAAATTTAGCAAGTACTTAGACAAAGCACAGTGTGTACTGATTTACCATACGCATCCTCGTCTTGATCGCCCGAATAATATTCTAGTATGGTGCGGTAAATGATATAGCCTAGGTTCTTGTACATATTAATGGCCACCTGGTTGCTCTTGCGCACAAACAGATCAACAAAGTACGCCCGCTTCCTAGAGAGACAAAACAGTTGAATGATTTTTTCTTATTCGGTTCCCTCCTGAGGGAATAGGCTCTGTGGCTACTTTTCCGATATGTCTTCCAAGAAGTTCATCAGGAGTGCAGCTAGACCGAGCCTTCTGTAGTCGGGAGACACAGTGAGAGCCGTCACATGTCCGTGCCAGTTGTCTAAGAGTCCCTCCACTTTTCCCATAACTGCAAAGGATAGGCACATTATTTATGGAATATTGTGATGAAACATTTCGTGTTTTGTGAATTACTGTATCCCATTATTTGACCACTGGGGGACTCGGCCAGCTGAAAGTACTCCGGCCACTTCGCCAGGTACTGCGTATAGAACGACAGTCCGTAGGTTTCCGTAAGTGGGTCAAAATTCCTGAATGAACACGTGAATAGAGTAGATTAAGTTGTTGCCTCCATTAGTCCTCCGCATTGCACACGCAGCTTACACATTGTTGAATTTAAAAAGATCGTCACAGGTGAATGGTCGCAGCGTAGTCATTCTCACTAATTGAATTGATGTCTCGCCTAATTTATCTAATCGAATGATGTTTCTTTTTTTTTTTTTTGAGGTTTTATGTTACAGGTCTACCCTTGGGTAGAGGGGGATTATTTGGCCGCCCGCCTTTGCAAGGTGGAAATCGCCACGTCGAGATATGTAACTTGTTACAGTTTTACTCCAATTTTGACGATGAACTCGATTAAAGTTTGGTACGAGCTAATTTGTTCTTTTTCGAAGAATTTATAGATATTATTATATTTCCTTAGCGATGGGTAGTTTAGTCTTGTTGTGTTGTACTTGGTACAATTAAAAATTATATGCGATGAGTCATCGATAGTATCGCAAGTATCACAAATGTTACTTGCGACTACGTGCATTTTGGCAAGTGTGTGCTTATCAAATGCACTGCCGCTAAGCAGTCTATTGATCCTTTTAGCGTCAATGGCTTTTAGCTTATTTCTATTTAGGAACCATGGTTTTGTTGAGGTAGAGGGAAAAAGTGAGCAACTTCCTCTGCGTTTAACGCTGGCAAACTCGGCATACTCTCTCTCCCATTCTTCTTTCAGTATTCGGTGTATCTCACATATTGCATCTTTAAGATTCCATTTAACGACTGTATATTTTCCCAGTCTGTGTGCTTCTTTGGCTGCTGAGTCTACTGCCGTGTTCTGAGGGATGTTGGCGTGGCCGGGTATAAAATGAATTTCTACCTTCCTTAGGTATTGGGCTTGACGGATCTTCTCCCTGATTTTATAAGCGATAAAATTATCCTGAATGCTCCTTGCCAGTATTAGAGCCCCGTTTCTGCTGTCCGTTAGGATGGCGATACGAGAAAACCCGCGGGAAATAGCATGGTCCAAGGCCTTTTCAATTGCAAGCAACTCGGCGGACAGTGATGACAAGGTTTTGTGCGTGTAAAAGCTGTCTATGAAACCTGNCCCTTGGGTAGAGGGGGATTATTTGGCCGCCCGCCTTTGCAAGGTGGAAATCGCCACGTCGAGATATGTAACTTGTTACAGTTTTACTCCAATTTTGACGATGAACTCGATTAAAGTTTGGTACGAGCTAATTTGTTCTTTTTCGAAGAATTTATAGATATTATTATATTTCCTTAGCGATGGGTAGTTTAGTCTTGTTGTGTTGTACTTGGTACAATTAAAAATTATATGCGATGAGTCATCGATAGTATCGCAAGTATCACAAATGTTACTTGCGACTACGTGCATTTTGGCAAGTGTGTGCTTATCAAATGCACTGCCGCTAAGCAGTCTATTGATCCTTTTAGCGTCAATGGCTTTTAGCTTATTTCTATTTAGGAACCATGGTTTTGTTGAGGTAGAGGGAAAAAGTGAGCAACTTCCTCTGCGTTTAACGCTGGCAAACTCGGCATACTCTCTCTCCCATTCTTCTTTCAGTATTCGGTGTATCTCACATATTGCATCTTTAAGATTCCATTTAACGACTGTATATTTTCCCAGTCTGTGTGCTTCTTAGGCTACCTTCTTTAGGTATTGGGCTTGACGGATCTTCTCCCTGATTTTATAAGCGATAAAATTATCCTGAATGCTCCTTGCCAGTATTAGAGCCCCGTTTCTGCTGTCCGTTAGGATGGCGATACGAGAAAACCCTCGGGAAATAGCATGGTCCAAGGCCTTTTCAATTGCAAGCAACTCGGCGGACAGAGATGACAAGGTTTTGTGCGTGTAAAAGCTGTCTATGAAACCTGAGCTGTCGTGTAGGAAAGCTGCGCTAGAGTGTCTGTTAGCTACTGATCCATCAGTGTAGTAGGTCTCGAAGCCTCCCCGTGTCAGGAGTGCCCTTTTTTCCCTATGCAGAACTAAAATGCCCGCCTGGTCTAAGCTGTGTTTGTTCTCAGCAGCCCCCTTAAAAAAGTCCAAGTCTGACCTAATTTTGGTGCAATGCGAAGTTGTACTCTCAAAGACCTAAATTCTCTCCAGAATATCACCGAACTCCCGAAATGCCTTGGCGTAGCCCGTGTTTATGTCCCTCTTTAGGGACACCGTCCTACTCGCTGGGAGACTGTACGCAAATGCCTTGGTTAACTCTTTTGCCGCTAGGAATCTCATTCTGTATTCCAGGGGAAGTTCTCCTGCCATGTGGTAAATAATCGGGATTGGGGTGAAAATGATTAAGCCTAGTGACTTTCTAAGGAGGTGGTTACAATGAGATTTGATTTTGGCTAGAGCGGATTTGGACAAGTTGCTGAAAGACGAGCAAGCGTATTCTAGTCTACTTCTGACAAAGGCCCTATAAACTATAAGCCCTCTCTTTGGGCTGATACCGTAATGTCACCCACTGAGTAGTCTTAGGAACGCACAGGTTCTGTTTGACTCCGAAATGGCCTGCTCGATGTGCACAGAGGCTGAGTTGTTCGCTGAAATTGTTCTGCCTAGATATTTTATCTGATCTACTTGTCTAATCTCGACTCCTTGGTGCTCAATGTTCAGCTCGGTTCTTCGGATGCTGAAGTGAACCACTTTGGATTTGGCTGGGTTGAAAGCAAGGTAAAGCCTGTTGCATCTTGCCTCAAAGCTGTCTATTTTTCCTAGGAGCATACGTTTGGCAATGGCAATCTCCTTGTGGAAGCAAATAATAAAGAAGTCGTCCGCATACTGAAACAGTAAGCAATTGCCATCGTTTATCTCGTGCAGCTCTGCGGTGTACAAGTTGAACAGAGTTGGACTGAGACAGCTGCCCTGACTAACTCCCCTGTTCATCTCAACCTCACTCTTGCCCTTGATGAGTAGACGCCTGCTCAGGAAGCTGGCAATCCAGGCAGTGTGATTCGGGTCGAACTGCATGACATTCATCGTCTGCTCTAAAGTGTCGACTCTTACGCAGTCAAATGCCCTTTGTAGGTCAAGTCAGGCCGCCACCACCTGATTCCCTCTCGCCTTCAGAGCCAGGACCTCGTTGATCAGGTCGTTGATGCAGAGAATGATGTTTCTATTTACCAAGTATACTTCTCAGACCAACATCTGATAGAGACGCGAAAACCTAAATAACATATGGCATGGAAGCACTTGGACCAACTTTCTCTTATCGATATATGATATATCTGTGTATCGATATATGATGTATTGGTGTATCGATGTGTGCTATTTCGGTGTATCGATATACCAGCAACAGTTCTTGAACTCCGCGCGGACGACGTAGCTTCGTTTCTAACACCGATCTGGTCTGTATCCAGCATCCATCATGCTTATAGTTCCAATATTAAATAGTGAGCATTGGGTACGCTGTCTTCCTGGGCGCATCAGTTGTCAATAGAAATGGCTCAAAAACATCAGGCGCGATCGGGCAAGCCGCAGGACTCTGGCTCCCTGGCACGTGAAGACTTCGATGGTGGGCCTGTCAGCATTGATGAAATCGAGACAGGCTTGTTTCTGGGTAAGCATAACTGGTCCAGGTCAACGCTTCATTTTTTCACAATCAAGCTGATTTCCTAGGCAACTTGACGGCCGCAACGCATATGGAAACACTGAAGTCGTTTAAAATTACCCATATCCTCACGCTGGATTCGGTACCACTGCCGAAGCACATTTTAGAGGCTGGCTTCCTTACAACAAAATACATTCAAAGTAAGTGGAGCCGGACGTTATTGCTCAAGATCCCAATTGAAGTGAAGTGTGCCATTTTAGTTGCTGACATGCCGCGCGAAGACATATTGCAGCATCTAGAAGGCTGCGTGAACTTTATTAGTTCAGCTCTGGATCAGAACGGCATTGTGCTCGTTCATTGGTAAGCAGCTCAGGTCCACATCGCCATCCGAATCAGCCGCGAAGCAGTTTATAATANAAGATCCGTCAAGCCCAATACCTAAAGAAGGTAGCCTAAGAAGCACACAGACTGGGAAAATATACAGTCGTTAAATGGAATCTTAAAGATGCAATATGTGAGATACACCGAATACTGAAAGAAGAATGGGAGAGAGAGTATGCCGAGTTTGCCAGCGTTAAACGCAGAGGAAGTTGCTCACTTTTTCCCTCTACCTCAACAAAACCATGGTTCCTAAATAGAAATAAGCTAAAAGCCATTGACGCTAAAAGGATCAATAGACTGCTTAGCGGCAGTGCATTTGATAAGCACACACTTGCCAAAATGCACGTAGTCGCAAGTAACATTTGTGATACTTGCGATACTATCGATGACTCATCGCATATAATTTTTAATTGTACCAAGTACAACACAACAAGACTAAACTACCCATCGCTAAGGAAATATAATAATATCTATAAATTCTTCGAAAAAGAACAAATTAGCTCGTACCAAACTTTAATCGAGTTCATCGTCAAAATTGGAGTAAAACTGTAACAAGTTACATATCTCGACGTGGCGATTTCCACCTTGCAAAGGCGGGCGGCCAAATAATCCCCCTCTACCCAAGGGTAGACCTGTAACATAAAACCTCAAAAAAAAAAAAGATAATAATACCGATCTGGTCTGTATCCAGCATCCAGCATGCTTATAGTTCCAATATTAAATAGTGAACATTGGGTACGCTGTCTTCCTGGGCGCATCAGTTGTCAATAGAAATGGCTCAAAAACATCAGGCGCGATCGGGCAAGCCGCAGGACTCTGGCTCCCTGGCACGTGAAGACTTCGATGGTGGGCCTGTCAGCATTGATGAAATCGAGACAGGCTTGTTTCTGGGTAAGCATAACTGGTCCAGGTCAACGCTTCATTTTTTCACAATCAAGCTGATTTCCTAGGCAACTTGACGGCCGCAACGCATATGGAAACACTGAAGTCGTTTAAAATTACCCATATCCTCACGCTGGATTCGGTACCACTGCCGAAGCACATTTTAGAGGCTGGCTTCCTTACAACAAAATACATTCAAAGTAAGTGGAGCCGGACGTTATTGCTCAAGATCCCAATTGAAGTGAAGTGTGCCATTTTAGTTGCTGACATGCCGCGCGAAGACATATTGCAGCATCTAGAAGGCTGCGTGAACTTTATTAGTTCAGCTCTGGATCAGCAGGGCATTGTGCTGGTTCATTGGTAAGCATGTCATGTTCACATCGCCATCCGAATCAGCTGCAAATCAGTTTATAATATTCCGTGTCCTACCTGGCCGTTAGCTATTTTGGAGTAAGCCGTAGCACCTCGACGGTAATTGCCTATATGATGAAACGACACAATCTGAACTTCAAACCCGCCCTCGAGCTGGTCAAGGCCAAGCGACGCTTTGTGCAACCGAATTCAGGCTTTATTAATCAACTGAAGCTGTTTCAGCGCATGGGATGCAAAATCGACCCCAACTACCAGCGCTACAAAATGCATCGACTGCGCCTTGCTGGGGAGCAAATGCGAAAGGCAAAAATTTTACCACAGAGTTTCCACAGTGTTGTGCGACCAGATCCAGACATAACGCGCGAAAATCCAGAGCCAATTGTTTTTCGTTGTCGTCGTTGCCGTCGCGTTCTGGCTTCCAAGTCGCATGTCCTCAAGCACAAACCGCGGGACAGGCCCCCTCTGGAGGGATCACCGTCGGCTGTCCGCAATGAAGATTCCTGCCGACAAACGCCAGCCCAGACCCAATCGGAAAAAAGAAGCACACCCCGCATGCTAGGTTGTTGAGCGAATACGCCAATTCTCACTGACCTCACCAGGTCACGAGAGCAATCATTGCCGCAGCATTTTGTTTGTAGAGCCCATTGCCTGGATGCACCGCGTTATGCTCAACACCCAAGGACGTCTGTACTGCCCCAAGTGAGCAAAAGTTGGGTAACTTTAGCTGGATCAATGGCTCGTTTTATTACAATGCCATTGTATTCTGCTGATACCATCCCTTTAAATATGCCGTTGTAGCCTGCCAGTGTCCTTGCGTCGAGACATTTTCGCCTGCATTTTATTTGATTCCCTCCAAGGTGGAACTCTTCAAGGCCGTTCAGAACGTTCAGACGACAGTTTAAATGGAATTTGCCCATGAAATAGAATGAAATGGCGAACCCAGAGAAGTAGTAGAGAATGTAGAAGCATTTCGTATTGCCTTCCACGTGGACAACATTTTTGGAACAATTCGTTTGAAGCACTGAAACCAAACTCCATTTATTTAAGCGCTACTCGAAGATTAAATAGGGTATATTGTATATTTGTGCTCGAAAAATGGGGGTGTATAACGCATAGTAGGAAGAAATTATTCATATATATTCTCTATCAGCAGCAATAGCCTATATCTGTCCGTCTGTCCCCCTTGTTTAACGCCTAGTTATCAGAGACTATTAGAGCTAGAGTCATAAGATTTTGGTTAAAGATTATGATATATCACAATGAATCAAGTTTGTTTCAATATTTCGCCCCGCCTCTTTCACGCAACACAAAGAGCGTATATCTGCTGTATCCACAATTTTAAAGATAAGAGACAACTAAAAACGCAATTCCATAGGAAATTACCGAATATCCATCAGATCACCGAATTTTGATAAGAATGGATCATTATTACAGGCAGAATGAAGAAATTAATTTGCAGTGGCTACCCCACCCCGTCCAGCATCTTTTCTTATGCTTGCTTGTTGCTTGTTCATGAAATGTGGGTCACTGGGGGAGTGTGGTAAGCTAAAAGGGCGTGTGGGTGGGAGAAGGGTTGAAGATGTAGAAAAAATGTAAAATATAAAATTTGAAAAAAAGCTAAGGTACAGATATACTGACTGAGTACCGGGTATAAAAGCTGTGAAGCGTACGAAGGGTCTCACAGGTCCCTCCTCGTTTCTGGTTAGCCAATGAAATTACTGATTACAAATACCCAACTATAATGTGTGAAATGTTTGTTGACGAACACGATAAATACATATATAAGTTAACACATAAGCAATAACATGGGACACCCTAACTTAGCGCACAAGAAATGTGAAATATCATGTGCCGCCCTAACTTATCCAGTCCGATACGGAGGGCGCCGATGCAGTAGATGCCGTTGCAGCGGGCGGCTCTGTTATCTGATTGGGCGCCAGCGATCGCATGATCTTGTTTACGCGCGGGCGGCTCTTATCTCTTGTGTGCGCGGACGGCTCGCCGGCTAGGTTTCGGTGTAGGTTTAGAAGTAAGCTTTAGTTTAGAATTGGACAAATAAATGAACGGAGCGTTCATATCAACTCCGACACGAGTCGTAAAACGTGCATTGATATAATCATATTGTTGAGCCTTAAGGGCCAACGAAATAGAGGGCAGTTACCCTCTCAACATAATCTTCTGTAGAAAACTCAGTTGCCAACGGCAACCACCGTCCCCCGCTACAAGAGCGGGCCACGGGAACCCAATCGCTGCCGCCGGAGCCAACGCAACGCATACCGCAGCTCGGACCAGCACGACTTAAAATTAATTGGCGCCCAACGGTATTTAGGATCCACGTCCCCAAGAAAAATAACATGTAAGTTGGGACTATAGAAACAAGGTCGAATACGACAGCGACGAGAGCCTAGACTTATTGTACCAGCCCCCAGTCAGAGCAGTACAGAATCAATTTAAAATGGATCCAGCCATGATAAAAGCGTTAGTAGAAGGCGCAATCAACACAGCCCTCGTCGAACAGGAACGACGACTGAGTGCAGAATTTAGCAGGGAACTCGAAAAAGTTAGAAATAGTGTGAGCGCCCTAACTGTAGGTGTCCCTCAGGTGGAAACTTATAAGAGAGTGACCATTGACACTAATATAAAATGTGAAGTGAAACTAGATATCATAAAATCAGTACCAACTTTCAACGGGAATCATGAGGAATATGTGTCTTGGAGACAATCTGCTCTAGATGCATACGAAGTTTTCAAAAACTACACTGGTAGTCAGACACACTACGAGGCTGTGGCCATCATAAAAAATAAAATCTGTGGAACAGCTCGAGCATTGCTCACATCGCACAACACGGTGCTCAATTTTGATGCAATCATAGCTAGACTCGATTGCACATATGCGGACAAAACATCCCTACGAGTATTACGTCCACACTTGGAAATGGTTAGGCAGGGTGAAACCGATCTAATTGAATATTATGACGAAGTCGAGAGAAAGCTCACGCTCGTCACTAACAAAGTGGTCATGACTCATAATGAGGAGGCAGCTACCATTCTCAACGAGGAAATTAGGAATGATGCTTTACACGCATTCATAGCGGGCCTCAAGAGGCCGCTAAAATTGTTCGTTCTCCCGGCACAGCCCAAGGATTTGCCATCCGCCTTAGCTCTAGCTCGCGAGGCCGAAAATAGCATTGAGAGAAGCGCATTTGCCGCTACGTATGCAAAGGTGATCGAGGATAAAAACCATTCAGGCGACGGCAATAGACAGGGTCATCGGGCCCAGGCCAGACAAGGTAGAGGTCAGGAAAAGAACCCACATTTTGTGGGAAAAAGTAATCAAAATAGCCAGCAACAGGGTGATCCTTGGCCAAAGCCAAACGATAAAGAGGCCCCACAACAAAACCAAGTGCAGCCTATGGAAGTTGACCCATCGATGTCTAGGNGACCAAAAAACGCCATAAAGTTAATTGGCGCCCAACGGGATTTAGGATCCACGTCCCCAAGAGCGGACTAAAAAACCGCCATAAGTTAATTGGCGCCCAACGGTATTTAGGATCCACGTCCCCAAGAAAAATAACATGTAAGTTGGGACTATAGAAACAAGGTCGAATACGACAGCGACGAGAGCCTAGACTTATTGTACCAGCCCCCAGTCAGAGCAGTACAGAATCAATTTAAAATGGATCCAGCCATGATAAAAGCGTTAGTAGAAGGCGCAATCAACACAGCCCT